CCAGTGCGTGATTCTGACGCAAATATCAGTAGCTGTAAACAAGACCATCAATCACTGGTGTTATATTAGACAAATACCGATGTGAGCCGCAAGAGCTTCCCTGCACTGTTTTTGAAGCCTCTGCCGACCCAAATTAGTTGGTGATGGCGTAAACATATTGTGGTACCGTAGTGGAAGAAAGACAGATCCTGGAACGACTTCCCGGTGCAGATGTTTGCAGCCTTAACGGAGAGCAGCATATTTGGTAAAAGACAAAGTGGCATAAGCTGGCATTTACTTGTCCCTTACATCGAGACACTATGTTCAATTGTGTCTTATAGTGGTAGTTTATGGATCAAGCGCCCAATTGTGGCTCTAGGCAAAGGGTATTTATTTTATCCCGCGCTCCCACCGCTTCTGGGCCTGCCAAACACAACCGCAGCATGGGATCAGTCTCTCGCCATTGTAGACGTGATTCCAATCCCATCCAGACGGAAGAGAGCCGTCAAACCATACCTGGCGATGTGATATTCAGTACTATTGACGAGACCGGATGGCCAAGCGGAGCTTCCAAAATACTCTTTGGTGCGTGGCTGTAGATAGGGCGTACCAGTCAGGTCTAGCTTCGATGCAATCCAAGAATGCTGTGCATAGATACACCGCCCTGTACGAGAATGCATTGCGAGTAATGAGGGATTTGAAACCACTGCACGGCCTTCCAAGCCCTGGTAAGATGGCGGTTGTGGCGCTTGGCTTATGGATCTGTCGGCTTAGTCTTTTATCCATGGCATTTCGGCTGATTTGGAACTTACTTGGATTTGTCGCTCAGAGTATACTCATTGGATGTATTGCATACTTCATCATACCTAGAAATGGGCGTAATTAGACCTAAATTCAGAATGTTACTCGATATTTGCTCAAGCTGTTTGATGGCTGCACAGTGAACGTGTGGTAAAGCTGCGGTAGATGTAAGAAAAGACTGACGGTTATTGTAGAGCGTAATGATGAATCATAGCGGGTGAGAATAAGAAAATTAATCTCGGTCTAGTATTTATATTCAACAAGTCGGCTTACTTTTGCTAACTACTCATATTCCTGTGAACGAGGCTGAAGGTGAGGTGTGCTGGCTTCAATTTGGCTAACATCACAGTTTAAAGGATAGAGACTTTTGCAGAATTCTCCACAAATTAGTAGCAAGCTAAGCAGCAAGGCAGTCTGGTCCCCTTGTCCTCCCAGCATTCCGAAACTAGCTTCTGTGCCTGGTGACCTGCAAAACTAGAACGTCCTTAACGTGATTGGATAGCGAGCCGCCCACCCCAAATTCCCATACAAAACGGCACTTCTTAACCCCCACGCAAAAACAGGTGTTCTTTTATGAACAGACGCATTAGCAGAATACAAAAGAACAAGGGGGAAGGCAGAAAAACTGGAAACTTCTGAATATGACAGTGAGCCCACTCCTTGGATGAGAGAAGTGATAGATATCCTCCAAGGACGATGGGATGGAACGTCACGTTGGGAATAGAGAGGGATGAAGCGCCAACAACACCAGGTAAAGATAAGGACTATCAGGTCAATAAACCTCATGTTAACGGTAACACTAGATGTGGTTAGTATACAAAGAGGTCTGGATTGCCGTTATTGGTTGTGCTCGAAGGGAAAAATCCTAGGATATCGAAAGCTTGTTACCCAAGGCCCATACTTGTGATAGAGGTGCACATTCAGCAACAAAATTCTGGCCGTGGTGGAAATTCGTTGTGCGGGTAGTTCGTAGATAGCCACTTTTATCCTCGCGGTTTTCACATTGTTTTGACGTTTAAGGCCCTCGATCTCTCCAGTAGTATTAACACTGCACTAACACAGTCACTTTCTTTGATACTCTATAGCCCAGGTTCAGCGTCTACACGGTGCACAACAAACCTTCCTAAAGTAGGCTTGGGCGATCCGTCCGGATACAGCGCGGCATAGGTTTTATTTAAATTATCCCTTTCGCCAAGAATTTATAATAGAAAAGCCCAGGACCAATGAAAAGAGGACATTATTTTGGCGCTAGAAGCAAGAACTTGCCAAATTGTAAACAGTTTTAAGCATCCGTTAAAGGATGCTGAACCTGGACCCCGCTGTAGCACTGTAGCAGTACCTTCTTCAGGAAGAGATCTGCTGTAAGTAACCTCTACAGAGCTGTTTCTGGCTTAACACATATTGTCATTTTTCCCTAGGCATTCAATATGTGTACATGCATAGTATGTACTCACTGTACGAGTGTAATATACATGTGCTTGGTGAGATTTAGGTGGAAGTAGTCGTCGGTGCTTCAAGTCCGGTTCCGGCTTAATTCTGAGCACACTTCCTGTGACCTGTGATAGGTATTTATAGGCAATGGTCGTCGTTAATGCTTTTTACTTCCCAGAAACTATCTTCACCATGGCTAGCACTGCAATTGAATCCCCCGAAACTGTAGAACCTCATAACGGAAAGGAAAAGCCTACGCAAGAGGCAGGAATACTTACACCGGACCAAACCCCTGCTCCTGACGACGCTAGAAATGCTGCGGAACAGGCCCGGAAAGCAGCGGGAATAGAACATGAAATCCAACGCATCTTGCAAAGTGATTCCGATCTTAGTACCCTTGGGGTTGATCAGAATTCAACCCCTGAGGATCGCCTACATGCTTTGAGGACGCTTGGTTGCAAGATCCATCATGAACACAGTGGATACGGCAGTACAAAAGAGCGAAAGAAAGAAGCGAAGAAAGCCCTCAAGAGTAAGATCCTGAAATAAACAATTTAGTATAGGTTCTCTAGCTGATAATATCACAGAGCTTTGCAATGCCGCGGAAAAACTCGGCGTTGAGTCTCCCTATGCCTCGGCAGTCTTTCACTGGGATGGCAAAAAGGACCTCATGGCAGAAGACTCGGATGACTCAGGTGACTCAGACTCAGATGACTCAGGTGATCGGATGGATCAAGACTCCGTCCCTGAGCCTCCCGAGTCAGTCCACCGTACCTATCGAGTCAGTTCGCGAAATTTACAAAAAGGCAACACCATTTGTACAGAAACTAGCCGTCGATCCTAATGATAAAGACGCCCATAACGGCACAGCGGCCCTTAATATAGAGATTATTAAGGCTACCAAAGAGTACAATGAGTTACACAAGGATGATAAAGCGAAGAAGGTTTCTAAAAACCAGTGGGAAATACCCTTAAGATTCTTTCAGGAGCATTATTCACTGGTGATGGCAAATTGCAATATTCTTATGACAGACCCGAATAATGACGAAGCAAGACAGAAAGCAGAAACCGAGGCGAAGCTGATATCTGATTCAGTCATAAAATATCACTGGCCTGATGATTGGATTTTAACAGTCCCGGGAAAACCGCCTTCTCCCTCTAATACTAATGCGCCGCTTCAATATCCATGGCCCACTCTG